TTCCGGAGAGTTTTATAACCCTCTGCAGTAGTCACAGGGCTGGTCCCTGGTGCACTCTGTGGGGGTTGAATGTAGCAGAAACTTGCATATGGTCCCAGGGCAGAAATCCAGTGACTCCCCATTTTGGATCTATAAATCTTTTCCTAGGTTCCTCGCCCAGGAGGAGCCATTGTGATCCTCTAGTCTGAGCTCCTGTGACACGCCAGAGACCTGCCCCTAAATCATTCCTAGAGCAGATCTGGTTTGCAAGTGACTTGCAGAAATACCCTGCCATTTGCAACTTTCGCCCCAGGATCTCAGGAACCAGTTACTAGTGGGCCACGCAAGTCCTATGGGTAAACTGAGGCAGAGAGGCCAAGTAACTTGTCCATGGTGTCCGAGGCAGAGCCAGGAAGAAAACCCAGGTGTCCTGACTCCTTTTCCTCCATATGTGAGCTGACCTAGCCCCCGGCTGCTTGCCTGCGCCCTGTGTAACAGCCTTCTGCTGTGGGCTCTGAGCGCTTTAAAAAGGGAAGGAGAGTCAGTAATTGAAGTAAACAGAAGCTGAAGCTGCCCCGTCCCTGGGTGGCCCCACTCCCCTCCCTCTGCCCGTAGCTCGGCATTGCTTTCCTTCGCAGGGGCAGCTGCTTGGGACCTGCGGGCAGACAACTGCTGAGACAGCCCATGGTTAAAGTGAAGGCTGCTCCTCAGGCCTGGCCGTGTAGCTGCTTCATCTATTTGTGGTGGCCAGTGGCTGCCCTGCATATTTCTGGGAGGCGTCGGCTGCCAGGTGCTAGCTGTGCAGCGCTTGGTTTGATCTTGTGGCTTTTCCTTTTGTCCCCAGGGGCTGCTCCGCCAGGGGGCTGCCCCCCTCTCCGGGAGTGTCTGAGCAGCTTAGCTGTATTTGGAAATCCCTAATCCACGGGGGTGTTAGTCACGCTCTCTGACCAGCCCCTTTCTTGCTGGGCAGCTGGCGCCACATCTCTCCCCGCTGCCGGGGCCTGCTGCAGAGGGGTGCCCACGGGGGCAGCTCCCGCCCTGGAGGAAGGAGGAAGCCTGCGCTAGTGACCTACTTGTCTAGCTGCAACACACTGCTCCTTGCTCTGGGCTGGCCGGCTGGCTCCCGGGTGCTGGTCCACAGGACAGCGTGCACTGTGTGTGTGTGTGGGGGCGGGGGGGGGGGCGGGAAACAGAGATCCCTGCAACTCCCTCCTTCGGACAGGCCCCTGGCTGGGTGGACGCTTTAGAGACCAAGCTGCTCCTAAAGGTGGGGAGAACCCACCCCACTTGGGGCAGTGCCAATGACTGTGCCACCCTCATGAGACAGGCAGCAACTGGGGTCGGAAGGGGCATGCGGTCTCTACCGCACCTCGCTTCACGGGCGTTACGGCTCGTTCCCACACCCCCAGGAGCTCCCAGGTCTGAGCCCCTCCCTCCAGCCCCATGGACATCTGCCGGCACTGGTCTCTTGCCTCAGCGCACGTCCCGGCTGGAGCTGTGATTTCCAGCTCGGGTGGACATACCCCCACTCGTGCGGACTGAGCCAGCGTGCTGCGAACGGCAGGGTAGCCTCAGCAGGATGGGCACACTGCCCGCCCGATGCACAATCCCTTGGTGCCTGGCGTGTGCGCGGCTGTTCTTAGCATGCTAGTTCTCGCCAGAGCTAGTGTAGGTGTATCTCCCTGAGCTGGAAGACTGCCCTCCAGTACCCATCGTCACAGGCAAAGGGCTGGGAGCCCAGAGCTTGTGGGTTCCAATCCTGCCTCCGACACAGATTTGTTCCACAGCCTTGGGCAAGTCACTTAGTGCCTGCCTCCATCTCCCCAGCTGTCAGAGGGGGCACACTGACCCTGCTGGCAGTTCCTCAGCCTGCGGTTGTGAGGCACTGGCCAACCGAGAGGACGCAGAGGTCTCTCTGCCACACACGGCCTAGCCCATGTCACGTCCCATTCACATTAAAGCCAGGACTGTAAATCAGGATTAGCCGAAAGCGCTGGTTTCCTTTTGTTCCGTCCTCCCAGATCAAAAAATATAAATACCTCTTGGGCAAGAAGCACGGCTGTAATGTGACCCTCTGACACTTGTGCTGCTGCCGGCCCCACGCGGCCTCGCGCTGGCGCTCCCAGCGAGCGTGGCTGGGTCTGCGCACGGCCGCGCGCTCGCTGCAGCGGCAGAGAGGAAGCTGCCAGGAGCCCAGCGCTTGCTGTTTGGTCTGCGAGAGGCAGCTGACATTTTGGAAGGAAATAGCTGCTGTTCGCTCCTTCCTGTAGCAGGGCAGCCTGTGGAGCAGCAGCGCCGGGCTGTCCCTGCGGGCGCGAACCCTTTGCCAAGAGGCAGGATCCCCCTCGGTGCCCAGGGCCGGGGTGCCCAGGTGGCTGGCAAGGCGCTGCCAGGGCGGTGCATGGGGCAGCGCAGAGCGAGGAGAACACCTGTTCCTGCCGTGAGTATCCCCTGCCCTCGGGGAAAGGACCAGCAGCTTCTGCCCCGGCGCCGAGAGAGAGATTTGTCGCCAGGGCCAGCGCTCCGTGCTGGAAGCAGTGAGTTTGCTGCCCAACTAGTAAAAGCCTCCTAGGCCTTGGACGGATGCCGGCATGGACGGCTTACGAGTGACATTCTGTGCAGAGTCTCTTCCTGAAATGCATCCCCACCCCAGGCCTCTCACGGGTTCCCTGGGCAGAGGCCACGGGGACATGCACCCATGTGTTGGCTGGTCGGAGTCCTGCTGCCTGGCTGGCTGGCAGAACACAAGGGGAGCTGTCGATGGGGTTGTCTGTGTGCGTGGGAGGGTGAGTGTGAAGCAAGAATGAGAGGAGCTCTGATTTAACCATGTCCGGTTAATGCCCGGTAAGCAAAGACTGCAGCTCCCTGGGCAGGAGAGCTGGAGCGATCGTGGTTGTGCAGGGCAGGGCTCCAGTCTTAACATTAATGCCACTCCCTGGGTCCTTGGATCTGAATTTAGCACTGTCTCCACCTGAGCTGAGCTGGCAGGGAGCCAGCCCCATGCAGCATGGCCAGCAGGTGTCTGGCTGGACTCGCTGTAACTTCGGGTAACGTGCCTGCCTGGTAACGGGGGTTTCGCCCGAGTTAACGGGCGGTCGGAACCGCAGGCACCACCGGGGCAGGGAGGTGAGGATGGGGGCTCAGGGAGATGCAGGAGACACACGTGAGTGTGTTTATGCAGCGCCGGGGGGGGGGAGGGGATGAAGAAACTGCCCCCGCTCTAGCATCCTGGGAATGCTGTGTGTCTACAGGAGACGCCCGCAGCCAGAGGTGGCTCAGTCTCAGCGGGGCTCATCTCCGTCAGCCGCCAGGGAAGGCGAGTCCTGTTAACTGCACTAGGAAGCTGCGTCTGCTAAAGGAGCAGGAGTGGGTTGTGCCCTGGACAAGTGCTAGTCGCACGTCCCCTGCACCTAGCTTGGCTCCTGCCCTGCGTTGGTGGGGCTGCCAGGAGCGCAGGGGGGAGTGCTGGCTGCAGGCGCCATGGCTAGTTGGCCAGGTTTAGCCTGTGGTGTGAATTTAAACCAATTTAGTAGCCCTGGTGCAACCCCTGTGTGGACATTTGTTTTGGTTTAGCTTAAACCTTGTCTGGGTGAATCTAGACAAAGCTGCGCTTAGCTCAGAATGGGCATCCACAGAGCTCGGCACTGGCCTACCCGAATCAGGGCCAAGTCACGCCTCGGGCTGAATGGTGCGTGTCCCCAAGGTAGACGCGCCCTCATCCCTCATCGGGGCAGTAGCTGAGCAAGACGTGGGAGGCTGCGTGCTGGAGAGAGCTCACCCGTTACTGCTCCAGCTCCAGCAGTGGCTACCGCAGACCGGGGCTCGGTCACCCCGTGGGAAGCGGGCCCAGGATGTGTTGTGAAGCGAAGCGTGTGGATGAGGGTGCCGGCTATTAGCGAGTTCTCCCTTTAGACCAAGGCAGTTAATGCCAAAAGGGGCTGCTCGCTTTACTTGCCGGATTACGCCATCCAGACACCTGGGCCCCCATGTGCACTATAGAAATGCAGCCACGTCGGGGAACCCAGGTACAGCCGGGCCCCAGGGGGTAGCACAGAGCATTTGCCATGCACCTGGAGCACCTCGTCTCGCACGCTCCCAAGCCCTCCGCTTGCACACGGGCACGTACCTGGTGTTGGCTGGCGGATGCAGCTGGGCCTCAGGTCCCTCGCTGGAGCAGGGCTGTGTGCCCCTCCGGCTGGCTGGCTCCCCTTCTGGTAGAAGAGCCTCCCCCTGCCAGGAGAGCTAAACCTCCCCAAATGCTCCTTCGGCCTCCCAGCCCCAGGCCTGGCACTCTTCAGTCCCCCCCAACCCATCTTGATGTGGGAAGGGGCTTCCCCTGGCTGGGACCCCCAAACCAGTGCAGGTGGCAGCACCGACCTGTCCCTAGGCCTCCCCAGAAACCCTTTCCTGTAGCTGCCCCACTGCCCCTCCACCCACTCGCTCTCCTGAGCTGCAGCTGCCTTGCCCAGGAGCCCTTCTGCACCTTATATTCCCCAGCAAGTCCTCCCAGCATGCCTTGCATTAGCCTACACTTCCCATGACCCTCCCTAGGAACTACACTTCCCAGAATTCCCTTGGTCTAGCTTGACCTGGGGCTGGGCCATGCCTGACCGGACAGGGCCAGTCCCTGTATGACAGTGCTCCAAGGGGGTGTTTTGCATGTGTTTCCCGCACAGTGGGTGGAGGGGATTCATGCAGCATGGGGGGGTCAGGCTCTAGCTATTCGAATCCCTCTTGGACCGTGAGAAACTCCCTCTTGGCTTCAGCATAAGGATCCAGGGTCAGGGAAGCAGTGACCCACGTGCTAAGCTTTGTGCGTGGGGCTGGCTCCTGGGCGTGAAGTCAAACCCGCGTGGGTGTGTGCACCCCAGGACACCGGTACCGCCGACGCCCCTGCATCGCTCGCTCCGCTCTTCGGCAAAGGAGCACCTGGTTTCCTGAAAGCGGAATCAGTCTCTGCCGGGAGATGCCCCGCAGGAATTCCTGCCGGGATGAGGGTGTGGTGGAGGAGGCGACGAGCAAATGGTGTTTGCTCCTTTCTCATTTGGGGAACCTGGAGCTGAGTTTAGGAGTTTACCCGCTTCGTTTTCACCACCACTCCTCCGGGTGAGAACCCTGGCCCATGTCTTGGAGAGCTCGAGGGGACTTGGGGGGCCCTGTCTGAGAGACTCTTTAGGGACTGCTCAGCCCCTGCCCTCTGGAGAGCCAGGCCCTACTGGGCCTGCAACAGGGCCCCAGAAATTGGGAGTTCCTGGGAAGAGCTGGACCTGAGCTTTGATTTGCCCCGTCTCCCCGAAGCAGCATCTGTCCCTTTGGGGTGGTGACGCTTGGTGGCTTTTCCAGTCATTCAGGGACACTGACTGGGCCAGGCTGGTGGTCGGCTCCTACTGCAGGTTCCCTCTGCCAGCACCTTTGTCCCCTCCCCTTCTTCACATCCCCTTCTGGGAGTAGATCGGATATTGTGCCCCACTGCTGAGTGACTAGACAGGAAAGGGTGTGAGGGAGGCAGACAAGTTGCTTTTCCTGTAGGCACGTAGCCCAGAGAGACAAGCCCACTGAGCTTGCAAATCCTCGAATAGGGGAAGAACCTTCCTGGGTAACTGTCGTGTGCCTCCGCCAGGTTCTGACCGATGGCCCTGTGGATCCAGGCCCAGCAGCTGCAGGGAGAGGCCCTGCGCCAGATGCAGGCGCTGTACGGCCAGCACTTCCCCATCGAGGTGCGGCATTACCTGTCGCAGTGGATCGAGAGCCAGGCATGGTAGGTGAGCCCGCCCCGCTCCATGCTGTTGTCACCGTGCTAGTGAAATCTCTTCCTCCAGGGGCTGCACAGTGGAGCTGGGGGGCGGCTGCTGACGGGGCTCCTTGCTGCTTGCAGGAGGTTCACCTAACTCCCCTCTCCTCTTCCCCCTGCAGTACGAGGGGTCTAGAATGGTGCTGCCACATGAACGCTGCATCCCGGCTCTGTCCCCAGGCTGGGGCGTGCGTCCTCTGTCAAACGCTTCCCACCCCCACCCCACTGTTTGTTTTATCAGTTAAAAAAGGTAAATGCTGCTTTTGGCTGTGACAGAGACAGGCAGCACGGCCTAGTGGTCTGAGCACAGATCCGGGGCCCATTGCCGGTTAGCTATGCCTCAGTTTACCCTTCTGTAGGCACGCGGGTTGCACTAACCAGTCATCACTTGTAAAGCCTTTTGCCCAGTGCCGTGCATCAGCCTTGCTACCTCTGCAGCCGCCCCGGTCAAACTTCAGGGCACTTAGACTCCCCGTGAAGCTGCCTCGTGAGGGATCCTGCACGAGGGGAGCTGCTGACTGCTGCAGGGAACCTGGGAGCAGCCTCAGTGCCACCCCGTCAGAGCTGGCAGAAAGGCACCAGGGCTGGGCTCGCAACTTCACTCAGCCCAGACAGCGACGAGGAGTCACCCCGGGAGCACTCGGCAGGTCCCTCTGTGTATGCCCCATATGGTGGAGGGGGCACTGCCGTGGTGGGGCCAGGGGGGCAGGCTCGGGGTGGGGCTTTGCTCCCATTCGCTCTGGGCTTTGTGTGGCGGGTTGGCTGGATCGTCCCAGTTTGCTGAGGGACGGACACACGGGGGGCCTCACTGGCGGGGGGTTGGGTTCCCCCAGCAGATACAGTCCCTGCGCCGAGCTGGGGCGGGCAGGTCGGGCCCCAGCTGAGCCCTGCCCCCCCTTCTCTCTCTGTGCCAGGGACTCCATCGACCTCGATAACCCCCAGGAGAACCTCAAAGCCACCCAGCTGCTGGAGGGGCTGATCCAGGAGCTGCAGAAGAAGGCGGATCACCAAGTGGGCGAGGACGGGTTCTTGCTGAAGATCAAGCTGGGGCACTATGCCACGCAGCTGCAGGTCGGTGCCCGGAGCCGCAATGGGGCAGCCTTGCCCCTCGTGCCCTGCCAGGGGTCGGCCACTCCCACTGGGCGCTCCCCCATGGGCTGGCCAAGCCTGGCGCGGAGCAAGGGGCTGAGACAGCAGCAGAGTGCGTGATGGCAGGTGCCGTCTCTCCCCTCCCCTCCCCGCGTGGGGCCAGCGCATCCCTGAGCCCCCTCCGCTGCTGCCCCGAGCTCCCTCCCCTGCCATGTCGCAGGCCCCCCAGCCGCTGCCGTCCCCCGCGGGCTCCTTGTCTGGCCATGGGGAGCTGCCGTCCTGGCATAGGCCGGCTGGGGTGACCCCCATCCTCACCCACGTGCCCTGGGAGCGGGGATGCCGGCAGGGTAGGTTAGGGCAGGAGCAGCCCCCCCGCCCAGTGCCCTTGGGACCCCCTTTGCCCCCATCCTGGGGCGGTGAGAGCCCCTGACTAGCCCCGCTCTGCGCCTGGCTCAGGGCCTTTGCTTTCCCCCCTGCAGAACACGTACGACCGGTGCCCCATGGAGCTGGTGCGCTGCATCCGCCACATCCTGTACCACGAGCAGCGGCTGGTTCGGGAGGCCACTAACGTGAGTAGCCAGGCAGGGGGGCCTTGTCTCGCTCCCCTGTCTCTCTGGGGCCCCGGGGACACTGCCCCAGCCCAGCCACGGGCACCTCACCCTGTGCCCCCTCACCCCACCCTGTGCCCGTGGCTCCAGCCACTGCCCCACGGCGTGAGCCTCGGCCTCTGTGCTCCGTCGCTGCCCCCCATGGCAGTCCCCGAGGCCCTGTCTCTCCCTGACCTGACGCCCCCCCTCTGCAGAGCCCCTCCCCAGCCAGCAGCCTGGCGGACGCCATGTCCCAGAAGCACCTGCAAATCAACCAGACCTTCGAGGAGCTGCGTCTCGTCACCCAGGACACGGAGAACGAGCTGAAGAAGCTGCAGCAGACGCAGGAGTATTTCATCATCCAGTACCAGGAGAACATGCGCCTGCAAGGTGCGGGTGGGGGGGCTCTAGCCGTGGGGAGAGGGAGGGGCCGTGGGGATGGGCTGATGGGGGCAGGGACCCGCAGAGCAGAGGCAGCTTCGCCCTGAGATCCCATCCTCGGGGAGACACCGGCCCGTGCCAGCAAACGTCCCAAAGCACTTGCCCCGTCCCAGCTGCCGAGGGGGCGCCAGGCGCTGGGGTCTGGCGGGGGGCTGCAGCTGGCGCAGAATGCTGCCTGTGCAGCTCCGTGCCTCGCGCCCCCTGCTGGCCACTCCGCCCTGGGACCAGGGGTGTCTGGGGGGGTCTCAGCCCTCCTCCCCCCCCAGCACGGGGGAGACTCTGCCGTAGCATCTGGGGGCTGGGGCATCGTCTCACCCACCCTCCGCGCCCCCGTGAGGAGGCTGCAGGTATCTGAGCACCCACGGGACGGTTCCCCTCCCTCCACAGTCCCATGGGAGTCCCCAGCTCAGCACTGTCCCACCGGCTCCGTGGGGCTGGGGAGCGAGTCCCGAGTCCCCCCCCTCATCCCCAGGGGTAGGCCTGGTGCAGGGGTTCTGGGGATGCTGCTGAGGGTCGGGGAGCCCCCGGGGCAGGCGGGGCTCAGGCCTAACGCTCTTGGCCTCCTCCCCAGCCCAGTTCTCCCAGCTCTCCCAACTGGGCCCCCAGGAGCGCATGTCCCGCGAGACGACGCTGCAGCAGAAGAAGGCGTCGCTGGAGGCCTGGCTGCACCGGGAGGCCCAGACACTACAGCAGTACCGAGTGGTGAGCGCCAGCCCCGGGGGGACCCAACTCCTCTCCCCAGTGCCAGCAGGGGGTGGTGATGCCCCCATGCGGTTCCGCTGCCTGCCCCGTCCCACACTAACACCCCGTCCCCTCGCAGGAGCTGGCGGAGAAGCACCAGAAAACCCTGCAGCTGCTGCGCAAGCAACAGACGACCATCCTGGACGACGAGCTGATCCAGTGGAAGCGGCGGCAGCAGCTGGCGGGGAACGGCGGGCCCCCCGAGGGCACCCTGGACGTGCTGCAGTCCTGGTGCGTCCGCCCCTCCTGGCGCTGCCCCGTGGGAAACGGGGGCTGGGCACCCGGGAGCTGCCGCTTGGCCCCTGGGCGGTTGGCTGGGAAACCAGGGAACGGTGCCGCCGGCAGCAGGGAATCCGGGGGGGCTGCCCTGGTGGGTGATGCTGCCCCCGCTGGGGTTGTTAGTCCAGGGCACTAGGGGTCACCTGCCCCCATCGCCAGGAACGTGGGACTGGATTCCTGGGGTGGCTGAACTCCCCACAGGGCGAGGCTAAGGCCGGACCGCGACGGCCTGGGGGGACCCCGAGGGGGGCGCGCAGACCGGGAGCCCCATGACCAGCAGACACGGGACACCCAGACCTGGGGCTCCGTGATGTCCCTGGGCCTTGCCAGAGCACTGACCTGGCCCGGGGGCCCCTCGCCCCAGGTGTGAGAAGCTGGCCGAGATCATCTGGCAGAACCGGCAGCAGATCCGTCGAGCCGAGCACCTGTGCCAGCAGCTGCCCATCCCGGGGCCCGTGGAGGAGATGCTGTCCGAGCTCAACGGCACCATCACAGACATCATCTCCGCCCTGGTGACCAGGTACCGCTGGGGGCAGAGCCGGGCTGGGCCCCGATTGGGTCTGGGCATGTCTGCCCCATGTGCACTGGGGTGACAGAGCTGGGCTGGGCCCGGCTGCCCCACACAGGCTGGGGGGCCGAGGCTGAACTCGGGGCACGGTTGGGACGAGGTTCAGGCTCTGACCTGGGCAGGTAGGAATTGGGCTGCGAGGGGCCAGGGGCCGGCTGGATCGGGGGGTGGGGATGCTGCCGGCACTGCGGGGCGGGTGGCAAGAGAAAGGGGCTCGTGGCGCAAGTGCTTTGGGCGGGAGGGGATACGGCCTGGGGACTGGGAAGGGGGATCTGGGTGCAGGGGCTGTGAGCTGGGGTGGGGATGTGCCGGGTCGTCCCCCCGCCCCCGCGCACGTCTGGCGGTCGTAGCTCCGGCCCCCGGCCCCATCTCACAGCCGCAGGCCCCGTGACGCCGGCTCCTCCCCCCAGCACCTTCATCATCGAGAAGCAGCCCCCCCAGGTGCTGAAGACGCAGACCAAGTTCGCGGCCACGGTGCGGCTGCTGGTGGGGGGGGAAGCTGAACGTGCACATGAACCCGCCCCAGGTGAAGGCCACCATCATCAGCGAGCAGCAAGCCAAGGCCCTGCTGAAGAACGAAAGCACCCGCAAGTAATGCCCCCCCCGCCCCTGCCACTCGCCCGGGGCAGGTCCTGGGAGACGCCCGAGCTGGCCCCGCTGCGCCGCGCGGCTCCTGTTGGGTCTCGGGGGGGAACTGGGGGGCTCTGGCAGGGCCCTGTGGGGCTGGTTCCTTGTTCTCTCTGCGTCCCATGCTCACGTAGCCTGGATCCCCCGGAGCGTCCAGCACAGCGTGTGGCTGGAGCTGCTCCCTCTCACCCCTGGGGTATCGCTGAGCGGAGGGAGGGTCAGCCCCACGCCTGTGGGGTTGGGGACTGGCCCCTTTCCCAGCACCCCCAGTGGGGTCCAATCCCCAGGAGACCCCCCTGCCCGGCCTGGTTGGCACATGGGGCCCCGTGTCCCCCCAGGCCCCGAGCCGCTGCCCATTCTCTGAGCCCGTAGCCGGACTCCAGGCCCCTGAGTGGGTTCCCTGGGCCCAGAGGGAGCTCCCCCCCACGGTGACTGTCGGCACCGCCCTGCCCCCCCCCAACGCCCCATGGAAGTCGGAGCTGGCCCAGTGCCTAGCCCCCCTGACCTGCCTTTCCCATTGCAGCGAGAGCAGCGGGGAGATCCTGAACAACTGCTGTGTGATGGAGTACCACCAGGCCACGGGCACCCTGAGCGCCCACTTCAGGAACATGGTGAGAGCCAAGCCCCCCGGCACCGCCCCTGCCCCCCCC